GGTGGGACTGGGGAGGAAGCGAGTGAAATATGGAAAGAAATATCGATAGCCTGAAATACCTGCCGAAGGGCACTTGATCTTAAGGCCGTTCCAAAGAGAAAAGACCGAGGGAGAATGTTGAGGAGGAAGATCTTGAGGAGGCAGAATATGTACGTTTTGTGGTGGAGGAGACGGACAAAGTGCGAGGAAGGAAGAGCGAGAGGAGGAAGTGTGTTAGGTGAAATGCGTTTTTTCTCTCATGCTTTCCCTCTCTCCTTCTTGCGCGTGTGCAACCGTGCTGAGATCTCTAAAAGAAATGGAGCGATCTTGAACAAATGGAGCGTTTACGTCCACAGGATAAAGAAAAAGCAGCACTTCTTAGGTCGGGCGTTAGGAAGGAAGGGCGGCCGGTCGAGGGAGGATGGGGGAGGTAGGGAGTAGGACGGAGGGAGGAATGGAAGGGGGAGGTCAGGTGGCGATCTGGCTCAGGAAGGAAGGGTAGGAAGAAGATCGGGGGAAGGAGGAGGTCAGGCAGAGATACGACGAACGAAGGGGGCGAACGAAGGAGAATGAGGGGGGTTGAAGAGAAGGTGCGCAGGAGGCCAGTAGGCAGGGGAGAGGCGGCAGAGAGTAGGGCGGAAGCAGGAGGTTACGTGGAGATCGGGCCAAGGAAGGAAGGGGAGGAAGGAGATGGGGGGAAGGAGGAGGTCAATGAATGTATGAAGGCCACGAAGTGGGAGAGGCAGGATTCGAACCTACGTAGAAATATAACCTTCAACAGATTTACAGTCTGTCGCTTTTAACCACTCGGCCACTCTCCTGAAGAATTCAGCATCCTACAGGATTTGAACCTGTGACCTTCAACTTAGAAACCAATATGTGGTTCTGCACGTTCCACCACTTCTCCATTCATTTCCAAAACTAATCTTAAAACACCATGAGCAGCCGGGTGTCGAGGTCCGAAATTGAAAGTCAAATTTCTTATTTGTTTGGTTTTCGCCATATATATATCTCTTTTTTAATTTAAGATGGAGCCTACGACCGGACTTGAACCGGAGGTCAAATTGGGCGGAGAGGACGGAGGAGACAAAGGGAAGGAGGTCAGGCGGAGATTGGGCGATAGTGGAGTGAGGTGGCCAGGTGAAGGGAGGGCAGAGGGAGGTTTTAAGAGAAGATCCAGAGGAGGCCAAGAGAAAAGGGAGGCGGCAGGGAGAAGTAGGGCGGAGGGAGGACAAAAAGCAGAAGGTAGTTTAGAGGTTGAGTGACGTATGAAGGAAGGGAAGAAGTAAGGGGGAGACGAGCATGGGAAAAAGCGCGAAGAGGAAGAGGAGGAGGTGGAAGGAGGCCCGGAGGAAGGGGAAAGACAGCAGGGTGAAGTCGGGCGTGAGGAGGGCAGATGGAAGGAGGAGGGAGGGCAGAGGTCAGGTGGGTTACGGAGCAAGGGAAGAGTTCAGGCGAACGTGGAGAGAGAGAGAGAGA